TGGGGAATTCTGGGAGTTCAAGTCCTCACGTCTTAAAGTTGCCAAGGTTGAGAAACACTGCTCTACAGGAACACCTACAAGCTAGGTTGGGCTGAGAGTGACTGGCCCCAAGCCAGACAGGGAATTTCTGTAGCTGGGGCAGGCCTCAAACTGAGTCTTCCCAGCGCCGTTGCCACGCCTCACCAGCTTCCATTTGCTGTTGTCTCCCTTCCTTGTTGAACCTCGGTTGCTTCTGCCCTTTGCCAGGTTCGGATGTGGTTGACTGGCTCTACCATCACGTGGAGGGCTTTACGGACCGGCGAGAATCCCGCAAATATGCCAGCAACCTGCTGAAAGCTGGCTACATCCGACATACGGTCAACAAGATCACCTTCTCGGAGCAGTGCTACTACATCTTTGGAGACCTCTGTGGCAGTACGGACTCTCTCTTGGCCACGGGCTGGGAAGGAGGGGTGGGCCAAACATTTCAAACTCGGACCGTTTGAAGTGGAAACAGGGAGTTTTGATCGTTTTGGAAGCATTCCAAGCTCACAGGGGTGCCCCGTCCTTTTTTCTATGTTCTTTGCTTGAAAATGCTTCAGCGTTTATTGGAATAGCCCATCTTTGTGCTTAAAAGCAGCTGCCGCCCGGTGCGCAAGGCGGGGTGTGTTGAGTTGAAAATGGTTTGCGTGCAAAGGGTTTTACACGCCTCTCTGGGAAGGAAGGGATGATTTAGCAGAAAAAGCAGATGGGTGATCCTGAGAGGTTTGGGGGGAGGCACTCATCCTGAGCAAGCCACAGGAAGAGGCTGTGCAGAGCAGACCCGGAACGGTTGGCTAAATCCTGCACTTCTCCTTTTCTTTTTCTCCGGCCTTTGGATGGGCGCCTGACAAAATAATCACCGTTGGTAGGGGGCCGGGGAGGGGGCCTCAAAGCAAATGTTCAGAAACAGTTACTGTAAGCAAAAATGACAAAAGCATTTCTTAAGTTCTGGGAACAGAGATAATACTAAGAAGAGACTCAGGCTGGCTCCTCCCTGACTCACTGGGGTATTGGAGGGAGGGGAGGAAAAGCAGTCAGACTAGCAAGATTCTGTTATTGGAGCCTGTCAATGTAGTGTAGTTCTAGTCTTCCTGTGGAGCTGATTTTTGGATCTGGTCTATCTTGTGGGAAAATCTTGTTTCTGGATGCACCCCTTCCCACACTGTCTACTCACTTCCCCTCTTGTAGATTAGGAGTTTCCTAATGAGTCCACCTTACTGTTTAACCTTTGCTGGTTTTCTGTGCCTCTTTTTTTCCCCTGCAGACATGGCCAACTTATCCTTGCATGACCATGATGGATCCAGTGGGGCCTCTGACCAGGACACGCTGGCTCCATTACCTCACCCAGGAGCGGCCCCTTGGCCCATAGCTTTTCCTTACCAGTATCCACCCCCGCACCCGTACAATCCCCACCCTGGCTTTCCTGATCCAGGCTACAGCTACGGAGGGGGCAGTGCAGGCAGCCAGCACAGTGAAGGTCAGTATCTACCAGGAGGAATGTGGGCAGGATCTTCTTTTCCACCTTCAAGTCTTGTAGAGCATGGAGGTTTTCTCTTCTGCCTAAGTAGCGAATCATGCCATGTCTGTCATCTTGGGTCCCTCTCTGGAAGTGACAAAGACATTTTAAAACAAAGGAGTCTTGCATCCAAAATCTGGGGTGGGGGAACCGCCTCCTTCTTCCTGAGCACTTGTGCACCCTCTGAACCTCCAAATGAGTCTAGCTTTTGAGCACTGAAAAATTCTTACCTGCCACATCCTTATTCTAGGTTGGTCACTTGTGCCAGGACTCAGATAGGGATGGCTCGCTTGCTTTCCATGGCTGCTCCTGAGCTTGAGAAAAAGTCAGGATGGGCCAGCCATGATTCTGAAACCAACCGTTCCCTCTGGGCTGATAACCAGAAATTGGTGGATCAGTTTCCCATCATTTTGAAATACCAGTTTCAGTTTTATTTATTAAATGTGTATAGCCATTTAATGAAATCTGTTAACATTATAAACAAAATAACACAGTGAAAACAATGTCAACGATTACAATTAAATTAACACAGGAGATCTAATTCAACACTGACCCAACACCTTCTTTCATTTCTTAATTTCTGTTAGCTGCCCAGAGCCATTGGTGAGTGGGCAGCCGTAGACATTGAAATAAATAAATAAATTTAGATGAATCTTTTGTGCAGTGATGGCAAATAAAACTATAGTTTGTGACAGGGCTTCCTTAAAATCAGATAAAAGGAAGCTTTTTTTTTTCATCTGCACAGAGTGAGAGACTGCCCATCTTGTTTTCAATATTTTTTCTTACAGATGGATAAATAAAATGGGCAGTATAAAAGATAATGTGGTAAATCCTTGATTTGAGAATAACCACAAGGACAGAATTGGGGATTTGCTGATACCTACACTTGATCATTGCTCTGGGCATAGTTCGTAATTGTTAGGCCTTAAGGCTTGGTGAGCTGCCTGGAAGGCCATAGTAGCTGAACACATTGTCACAATACAGTTCTCATCCTTCTTAGTGTCCAGAATATAAATCAACTCCTTCGATTCCAATGAAATAGTTGGTATTCAGGGTGAATAGCTATCCAACCATTCATATCTGGCAGATTTCCAGCACTGTTGTTGGTTGAAGAAATGCAGGCATTGCTTGACCAAAAATCTGGGTTGTTTGAGAGAAATTGGTAAAAGTTGAGAAAGATGTGATTGATGTGAGTTTTAGTTGAGAGGAAACACAGTCCTGCTTGTAAAAGATGAGCAAGACTTCCTGTGCAGAGCTCCAATAACCTTTTCCAGACCCGATTTTGTACATTTGCTAAAAATCTTACAGGATGGGCATTCCATCCTCAGATATCCGTTCCAAACAGAATCTGTAGGATGATTTCCCCACAGAATAATGTTAATGCTGGCTCTACTAGTCGGTTTCCTTTTGTATGGTAAAATGTCATGAGTATCCTAATTACCTTAGCTGGTACTATTGGAAAATACTCTTATCTGAGCCTTGCAAGAAAAGGTCTCATCCAATACTATTTGTAAGTATTTAAGTAGCTTACACTGTTTTATGCTGACTTCTCTAATAAACCATTTTGAAATTTGGGGCTGCTTCCTGAAACCATTCCTTTGGTTTGGCTTAGTTAGTTTTTAGATGTTCTTCACTACAGTTTACCCTAACCTTTTAAAACATTCTTTTCAATCCAGTTCTTATTGTCAAAATCTTAACATCTGCATAGAGCAGTGCTTCTCAACATTGGCAGCTTTCAAATGGGGGGACTTCAGCTCCCAGAATTGAAGGCTGGCTGGGGAATTCTGGGAGTTGAAGTCCACCCATCTGAAAGTTGCCACGGTTGAGAAACCCTGGCACAGAGTAAGATTGATACTTTCCAGAAAACAGAGGCGAAGAGAAGAACTCTGAAACTAACGTATAAGGCACCACAATTCAAGATTAAACAATATGAGTGTAAAGATAACGCTTTGTTTTACTCCTCTTTTATTGGTGCTGCTCCTGTAAACAACCCCGACAGATCTACTCTCACTCTGGTATCATGGAGAACATAACTGCTGCGCTAAATGCAACAGAACCTATTTCTGTATCATGTGAAAATGCATGGAAATTCCATTGCAAGCCGTTTCATTTGGTGGTGGTGGTCAAGGGAGTTCCCTATAAAGAAGAACTGCATGCTGGAAAAAAGAGGTTGAAAAACACTTCTATGGCAGCCCAGATGTTGGATGTCCTGCCCCCGAAGTCTGTTTGGCTCTGCTTTGTCTGTAGATTCCCCCCCCCCCCTTTAACAGCCCTTTCAGTGATCTGTCTCTTGTTCCAACTGAAATGTTTTACTTGCCGTTTTACTATTTGCTTTTTCTAAGCGTGTCATTGTTTTTAATGCTGTAAGTCATTTTGGGTGGCGTAACGGAGTTGAAAAATGGAATGTGAACTTGTTTAAAAATGGTTCGTTTTAAACAAAGAGATCTCCCTTGCTTTCACTCTGCTTCCAAGTGTGGCAAGAAGGCAGTAGTCCAATATTGTTGGTGTCTAGCAGCTTCTGTATTCTTGCTGGAGAACATGCCTGGTCTTTGGCCAGGTCTCTGCGATGCTCATAAAGGGCTACATTTCCTTTCTGTCCTGGAGAATAGATGCATGGTGCCAAGGTTAGCGCAACTTCAGTGATTCCCCAGTTTTCCTTGGCTTTAGTTCCTAGGCTCCCTTTTCTGTTGTGCTCTACCCAGGAAAAAGTTGTTGGATTCACACAGCAAGCACCTTTGTGTATGCTGGCCCGTTACAGATAGAGTGGGGGCACTAATGCCTCTATGTTCTGCTTCTGAGCTCCAGGAGGTGGTAGAGCCAGCAGGAGGGGGCGTATCAGGCTATTTTTGGCAATGAATGCAGTGGATTTTGGCCTGATGTAGCAAAGCAGAATGTGTGTTTTAGTTATCGCTGGCCCTCTTCCTCCCTAAGTCCCCAGCCTACAGCGAGGGAAGTCCTCTAACCACTCTCTCCCCAATTGTGACTCCTTGTGCAGGAAGCCGGAGCAGTGGTTCAAACCGCAGTGGCAGCGAGAGGAGGAAAGACCGAGACCCCAAGGCTGGAGAGTCCAAGTCAGGTGGCAGCGGCAGTGAGTCCGACCACACCAGCCGGAGCAGCATTCGGCGGGAGCGAGCAGCCAGCGAGTGCTCTGTGCCAGGCAGCCAGCGCAGCCACCACTCCATGGCCCACAGTGTGCGCAGCCACCACAGCCAGCAGTCTTACGGGCCTCCTGGCCTCCCACCTCTCTACAGCCCTCCCATGCTCCTGATGCCACCACCACCTTCTGCCCTGGGACCCCCCGGGGCCCCCCCAGGCCGAGATCTGGCCTCGGTGCCCCCTGAACTGACGGCCAGTAGACAGTCATTCCGAATGGCCATGGGCAATCCCAGTGAGTTCTTTGTGGATGTAATGTGAAGCCCCTTCCCTCCCTCTACCTGTGTGGGCTGCCCCTGCCTGTTTGTCTCTCCTAAGAAGAGCACACTCTGCGTGAGACATTTGTCTTTCTCTCTCTCTCTCTGGTTTTTTTTTTTTTTTGACTTGGCATTTATGAAAAGGAGGGAGGAAATAAAGTGAACTAAACTGTTTGATTCTAATCTTTCCTGTAAGTGGCTCCAGCAGCCTCTCCGGAACCCCCCCTCCCAATGTGATTCCCGAAAAGAACAACCCTAACCCTGCTTGTATTCTGACCCGCTAACCTGTGCGCTAATCCATTAATCTGCATCTGCCTGGGACCTCTGCTGCTCACCTGTTTTTTTCCACGCCAGCCCTAAACACGTGCCCTCTTTCTTCTCCTTGCCCCTCTTGTATTCCTCTCTGCCGAGCAGCCAAGAATTACGGGGTGTTTGACTTCCTTTGAGCTGGCCAGCCGTTGTGGGGAGAGCTGCAGCACACTGTGGTGGTTTGGTTTCCCTTGCCACCAAGAGAGGAAGACATAGAGCCTTTTGGGCCTACTTGGGGGCAGAAGATGACTTCTTTGTTGGAAGATGCCCCTCCTTATCCATAAGCCCAGCAGGGCTAAGCTCCAGCTGTGTCCCTCTTCAGCAACAGCGTGGCCCCACACGTGGGACTATGAGATGGGTGAGCCCCCACCTGCCGGATGGTAGTGACTTCCCCTTCCTTACTAAAGCTCTGCTCCTCAGACTGATGAAGGTCTTTCTAGGGAAATGCTGGAGGCCAAACCTGATTTTTGGATGCCTCATGCATCGAAGGAATCCAGTAGCAAGAGGGCCAGGACATTTTATCCTCAAGGTACCCCAAGCTGAAGGACCATAGCTTTCTTCTGGAAAAACCTTTCTAATAGAGCACCGTTGAGTAAATGCAAAGAACGCTCTCTTGAAAACCCAGGATTTGTTCCTTGCTTGCTTTCTGAAACACCAGTGCTGATAATGAGTCATGTTCTGGTTGTACTGCTCCTGCATCTAATGGACGCTTCAGTAGATTTCTTTCTGCTACTACTTTTTCACATGCTTCCAGTCTTCCATATACTGTCTCTAGTGAAGATTTTGAGTTCCCTCCCATCACTTGCTTTGCCCCTATTTTGTTTTAAGTTCCGTGTGCCCAGGCTACATTCTGACTACAACCTGCATTAGTTCTTTCCTCTTTCCCTTTTGTTGCTATGTGAACTTATGCTGCTTTCATTCTGTTTTTTTCAAAGAAGCCCAAAACATGGGAAAATCCCAGCAACTAAGGGCCAGGAGGGCAGGGAAAAATGTAAAAGCAATTATCCCTGAACGAAAGGCCTGACTTCTGAGAGATTGTGTTATGGTTGGCAAACTCTTTTGTTCTCTCCTTCCTTAATCCCTTTCCCATGATTTCTGGGAGTTATGAACCTTTCTGCTTGTATGCAGCTTTTTTGAGAATAGTACTGGTCACAGCTGGGATTTGCCAGCCAAATGTTCCATTTGCTCTCTGACCGTATCATACCACTGAAACACACACATTCAAATTCTGGTTCTCAAGGGCTGGGTTCCTGCAACATGCTGAAGCACAAACTAAAGATTGTTACGATTCAACTCTTAATGACTTCATGGATGCATCCATGTAGTTTCCTTATCCTCCTGGGATGTCTTCTTACTTCCTAGTCCAGCATCAACATGGATTTCCTGTTGACCTATCCAAGTACTGCCTAGTTCCAAGCTTGCTTAGTTTTCTGGAGATCAGCCAAGGTCAGCTAGGAGTTGCCACATGCTGTGATTATCCAACCCTGCTTTACCTACCCTAATATGTGGTGTGAACCCATCTAATGAGCTAGTTTTAGGCATTGCCCCTTTAGTTGTGGTGGTGGTGGCTCTTGATTATCTGCTTCTTGTGCAGGACCATGTCAGGGGTGCGTGGTCCACAGAGTTCCTTTGCTTTAGCTTCAGTGTCTATCAGTCAAGCATCACTGTGAAGAGTGAGTTCAGAGAACCCGATTCTCAAAAGCGACACTCATGGGAAATTTATGATGGCAGCTAGACCCACCTGTCTCTTGGTGCTTGGAATGCCAGAACAAAACAAAGGGGAGGTGGAAAGCTTACCTTATTTGCTTTACAAGAAAAATGACTCATACTGTCCATGTCTATAATCAGACATGGGAAAAATGCTATAATCATGCAAGTGACTTACTAGTATCTGGTTGCATCATTTGGTTTTACCTTGATGTAAAATTCTGTTTTGTTTGGCCAATATTGGTCTTCATACTACGTAGGAAGTGTACCTGATTTACTCTAAAGGTAGTCCCTGGGTTAAGAATGCCCAGGTTACAGACGATCGATAGTTAAGAATGGAGCCTATTGTAGCAAAATTTGAGTTAAACACACAATGGTTCAAGTTAAATACACAATGGTTCGAGTTATGATATGATACTACTAATAAGTATTATACAATGATTCTGTTTTGGCTTACATGCAAATTTGATTTAAGGACAGACCTTGGGAACAGAACTCATTCTTAAACTGGACTACCTGTACTTTGAAATTCCTTTCCCTACCTTGGGTTTGGTGGGCATGGGCATTGGTCTTTCTGAAAGGTGGGGGGTTTTGTAGGCTCCGACACTTCCACGAGATGCTATAACTCAAGCCCACGCTCTTTCTATGATTGCTTGTTAGCCAAAAACAAGTAGACGTTTTATGGTGAGCCTTTTTGGCCCTGTTTGCCTGGTGTTTGCAAAATTTGCTGGTGTGCAAGAGGGTCTGAGGCCACACACATGGTCCAACACCTTTCACGTTACCATTCACCTCCACCTGTGCTGGGCTTGAATAGGATACCTGTCTTTCAGTCTGTAGCAGCGGTGGGGGAAGAAAGGAAGAGGCTTGGAAGCAGTGCTAGCTGGCAAGTATTACTTTAATTATTGAAGTCTAGCACCTCAGGGAGCAGAGCAGTCAGTGTAGGAAAAAAGTCTCTGCTTTTCCCTTCCCCCTTTTCCCTTGCTTTGCTTTTGGGATTTGTCTCGTTGCCTTTTCTTTACGGGTGAAGGAACAGCAAACGTTTGGCCTTGGAGAAGAGGGATCGAGAAACCCCACCTTGTGACTGCTATCCTGAAAGCACTTTGGTTAGGTACACATCCTACACTAAGCCCTCTCCCTCCACTGTACAAGAATTGTGCGGTTCCATTAGCGCACTCACATTCCCTTATGCTTTGTAAATTGGCCTCTGTGTGTCAACATCAGCCATATGGGTTTCCCTAGACTCAAGGATTATGGTATTTGTGTGTGCGTGGGTGTTTTTTTTTTTTTTAACTTTCTGCCAATTTCTCTGCCCCCTCTTGATTCACAATTACATTTTCTTTCAGGTTCCTGCCCATAATGTCAGTTTCCTGCTGCCCTCTTTTTATGTCCTCTTGCCATAAATGCAACCTTGATTCCCCTCCGCCCCCACCTCTTGCTGGTTCCTTCCCTTTGGTTCTCTTCCTCCTACTTTGGTGCTACCTTCTCATCACGCATATTGCCTTACCTCCTCTTCTTTGGTTTTATATAAATTGAAAACTTCCTATGTGTTTTTATTTATAAAATAGTTTTATTGGACTCCACGTTGTCGGTGTGTGCCTCCTGTTCTTTCATTTCCAAAAACCATCTGCCTGCTTCAGACAGTGGCTCACAAGGGTGACCGAGCTTCAGGGATGTCTGCAGGGTGTGGTGGGAAAAGTCAAAATGTGGCCTGTTGGTGCAATTGAAACTTCACTTGTACCCTCTTGGCCACCGTACTGACCTTTTTGCCATACCTCGTGGACACCTCTGCTTCCTTGATTTCCTAAAATAAAATTGTCCCTCTTTTCTGTTTTCATTCCCTCTAATGTTATGATCTTATGCCCTGTGGAGAAAGACATTTTTGCTTTCTGGCCTAGAGCATGAGAAGTGAAAATTGGGTTTGGAGGAATGACTTGAGAAGCTGACTATTACTTTACTTTCCAGAGGGATATTACAGAATAAAGAACTACGAAGGAATAGTGGGGAGGAGAGAAGAAACCAGAATACTGGATCTTTTCTACTCTTTGTCTTTTATAATTGTTGTTTTCTTTAAAAACCCTTAATTGTAAGTTGCTCAGAGTCGCTGTGGAGTTAGGTGGCCTTGAAACTGAAATAATAAATTTAAAAAAAATACTCTTACAAGTGAAAGGAATAGTGAAGTCAAAATAACAGCATATTAGAAGCAATATTAAAATAGGAGAAAAATAGTGATAGAACTGGAGAAGTAAGCTTGCAAAAAGGATATGTACAATTTGACTATTTTGCTTTGGGTTCTGGTCACCTGCGGATTTGTGGAAACTGCACCTGGGGTCAGCCCCACCAGGTAGGCCAGACCAGGAAATCAACTCCACAGGAAGGCTAAAACTACTTTTATTGAGATTGGCTATAACAACAGAATCTTGCAAATCTGATTATGTTGTAGCCCCTTGTCCAACTTAACAGTTCAGTGAATTTGAGAGGTGTCTGAGCCATTTCCAAATGTTATCTGGTTGTTGTAGACTTAAAATATATTTTACCCCTTGTTGCCTTGGCAACAGAGCTGGCATATCTGTCAAGGTCACTCTCTACACCTGGTTACTGAATTAATCCATTTTCTGGGGTCATGCAATACATGGAACCATGAACTAATTAAACACATCAGCTTTGCATAATAAATGCCACAAAAACTTAACCATGTTTAATGTGTTGCATGAATGGATCCATCAGGTGCTCATTTAATGTGGTTAAGTTCTGAATCTGGCATCCGAGCTGAACATCAGGAAAGATATTCAGTGTTCATAAATTAGATCACCCTTCTCCGAACTGGAGTCTCCCAATAGGAAGACTGGGATTAAAATCCCTCAACAAATGAGGCCTTTAGCCAAGTCTGGCAAAAGAGAATTTAAGCATGTTTACATGAAATTTTTCTCTTGATGCTTTGATCTATTTGTAAGATGTAAAAGCCGAGTCTGGTGCTGACCTGAGTGTGCTAGATGAAGCGGGAGACTGCAGCCTCCTGTGGTCAACATGTGAGATTTACTGGTTTCTTTCTGCATTTTCACAATTGCCTGATCAAGTTCAAAATTAACACAGATTTAGCAGAGGGAATGCTTGGCTGCCCTGAATCCCAACTACCATTTAAATGTTCCTATGCATTTCCATAAAGCAAAGGAAAACGTCAGTGACCAAAACGGTTCACATTTGCAGGGCTATCTAGTACCTGTTTCACGGTTGGACACTGGAAGACGACAATCAGGATAATCTTCTGGGTCTGGGAACATGGCAACATCAGGTCAAGATAAAATATCCCCTTGGGTACAAGGGTGTATGTGTGTAAATGGTACCCCTCTTAACCTGGAACTGCTTAGTTCTCTACAATAACCTGGTCAAAGGAGTCACACACTAAACCTGGTCACAGGATAAATCTCACCTAGAGCTTGTTCTTAAATTCAGTTGCCATAAAATTCATGTAAATGGATCAATCTAATACAGAGAATATCCTCCCATATATTGATTCTATCATATTCCGGAATACAACATTCTCTGTGGAATTGATAATCTGTAACACCAGCAAACCTCTTACAACATTTCAATGGCTGCCAAATTTGGGCAATTAGAGTTATCCTTAAAACTACCTGTTGACTACAAACTTCTTAGCAAATTCAAGTTTTGCATTATCTGCACTGTTTTCAGGGAGGCAGTAAACTTGGACAGCACAATTTTCTCTAATCAAATGATATTCTCCCGGCAGGGCAATCTATTTCAGATTATGTTAACACTCAGGCATCACATCTGGCATAAAAGTGAAACTTGTAAAACATTTCAGCCTAGTTCACACAACAGGCTTAATAAGGTGGAAGCAAGGCACAGGGACGATGTATGCAAGCTGGAGTTGGTTAGCGTTAATCTTAGGTTGTTTTCTCTTGGCTTAGAATCGGGTGCAAACTGGTTACTGAATTAACCAAACTGAATTGCTTTATGGTTTAAAGTCTTTTGTGAACGCAGAAATTGGGTTTATTTAGTAATCAAATTAAGTAAGTTATGTGAACGTGGCTCTGAAATACCATAAATGTGTAATCTTACCTCCACCCCAAAGAGAAGATAGTTGCTACATTTCAGTTCAGATACAGTAATTACAACCAGCATGATTCTCAGTTATTGCAACAAAGATGCCCTTTGACCACCAATAACATTGAAACAACTTCAGGAGATACTTGGTAACATTTTGCTTTAAACATTCTTTTTCTGTCTCTCAAGCCATTTTTAATAGTTAACTTGGGTATACTGTGTCCTGTATAATGAGCAATCCCTGATATACAGGCAGATGGAGATGGCTCCAAACTTGTATTTTTTAATACAATAAAGGGAAATCATTAAATACAAAAGGAGCACTTTAAATTGGGTTAATTATATTAACTTTAAATATATGTACCATACCCAATTTGGGGAAGGAGGTTCATAGTTTATCATTTGCTTGTGGGTCCCTGGAGTGGGGAGAATGGATGTCTGAACTGCAGTTTGTTGCTTTAAAAATTGTATTTCTCAAATGTGATCTGTTTGCTGAGCACTTTTCCAAATCAAGCTTCGGCTTCTGTTCTGCTAGGGGCAAAAACAGAGATCTGTCTTGGAGGCTAACATTTATGGTCAGTGTTTGCATAACACACTTGACCTTATGGAGGTTGCATGTGTGGCTTAGTATATTGTGACACTCCAGTCAGTTTAGTTAATTTATAGTTTTTTGTGGAAACCCAAAAAATGTAATCAAGTAAAATGTACATGCACCCCCTTTGCATTGTCCATATGTTGGGTTTCACAACTTTTTTTTTTAAGATAGGGAAAATTCCTTATCCTGATACAAGTACTATATTGCTTCCATTTTCATAAGACTGATGTGAAACTGTTCTAGTGATGCTGTAGGTATTGCTCACTGATGGATAGCATTTACAGTAAGTGTGTGTGTTAGAGGCTGAACTTCCTTTATGGGCAAAAAGTTGGGCTGTAAATCAAAATATTAACACTTAAGTGTGAGATTCATATCAGTCCTAATACGCCCTGGAGATCAGAACGCTAATGTGAAATATCTACCACGTGTCACCTGCTTTGTTGTTGTTCAGTCGTTAAGTCGTGTCCGACTCTTCGTGACCCCATGAACCATATTGCGCCAGGCCTTCCTGTCTCTCTCTCTCTCTCTCTCTCTCTCTCCTGCCTCTCTGAGTT